GCTGGCTGTGAAGCTCCTGGATCAATGCTGTTGTGGCATCTTGTTGCCTTGTTTTGATCTCCTTTGATCTCGTCGTTTGTGACTGTCTTTTGTAGCCTGCTGCAGCTCCGATGCTCGCAAGTCAGCGTACTGTGTCAAAAAAAGGTCATGCCCTGTCGGCATGCGGACGATCATCTGCTTCGAGCCTCCGCTTTGTTGCCATAGCTTGGTATCGGTTGTGATTAAACTGAGCTGGGAAGCTGCAAAATGTGAACACTGTGCTTCCCGGTATCTGTTAACAGTATTTAACATGTATTTAACAGTATCATACCTCGGCAATGCCCTGCGTGACACTGGCTGGTTTTGGCACCAGGAGCCCAAGGCTCTCATGGTGCGATGGTCCCAAGTGAGTCTGGCAGCTGGCTACCTGGTCGAGCTGAGACCTGTCAATGGCGGAGTTCCTGGAGGCCATCCACACTTTCTGCCGATTCCATTCTTAGCCAAACCAAGTAGAATCAGGACCAGCATAGCAGCATATAGCAGCACAGCACCAGATACAGCAATTGCAAGGGGATCATGGTCCGATTCCAAACTGTGATCTGTTTCTCCCAAATGTTTGAGAGTCATGTTAAAGTAGTTATGCTTTCAGATGCATTCAATTCAACTGATGTGAAACTTCGTGAAACGTGGGACATCGTGGGACATCGTGGGACATCGTGGGACATCGTGGGATATGTTCCGTCGCCAGCTGGACAAAGCGCGATTCCCCAACTACGTTCTCACGCTTCCAGAACCAAAACCACGCGATTCCAGAACCAAACCACGCGATTCCCCAACCAAAGCCGGCGCGCTTCCACAACTACATTCTCACGATTCCACAACCACACTCTCACGATTCCACAACCAAAATGTCACGATTCCACAACAAAAATCTCTTCATTCCACAACCAAACTCCCACGATCCCACAACCAAAACCTTAGGATTCCACAACCAAACTCTCACGATTCCACAACTAGCATCTCAGATTCCACAACCAAAATCTCGCGATTCTACAACTAACAACTATTGATTCCACCAGGAAGACTGCCGCTACTTACTTTCATTATAATTATAGAAGATTCTTGACAAGAAACAAGAAACTTATAAAATCCCCCACCCCCACAAAACAATAGATCAAATTTAAGTATTCAGCCAGCAGCCCCGCTTCTTAGAAGATGCGACCCGAACTTGGGTTAGAGCAGTTCATGTCTTGGTTTGGTTCAAATCCCTTTTGGTTTTGGAATAGCCCGTTTTGGTTATGGAATAATTGTTGGTTGAGGAATCATACGGTTTGGTTCCAGAACATTTCTTCTTAGTTGTGGAATAATCGTTGGTTGACGAATAACACTTTATGGTTCAAGAATAATACGTGTTGGTTATGGAATAATCCTTGGTTGAGGAATAATACGTTTTGGTTACGGAATAATTCGTTGACCTTCGCCAGCTTGGTCCTCTGTGGACGTGGCTGCTGGATCCGTGGAGAAGGGCTCCAAGTTGCCCCCGGGGCTTCTGGGACCTCAGTGCAGCGCCTGTCGAGTGAACAAACTCAAAGAGGTGCCCTACGAGGCTCGTGGCTTGGCACATCCACGGCACATGCCACATCTTGGCGGATGCCCTGATGAAATCCATAGGCATCACCATGGATCACCCAATATCCCACAACTAGATACAACTAGGACAACATTGCTGAGGGATGCTAAGGGTTGTAGTTGTGAAAATCATTGAGTCCTTGTTCCATTCAAACCCACATCCTCTCGAGGGGTAGAGTGGACAGGTAGACATTCTTGAGAATTGGTGATGGGAGAGTAGTCCGCAATTTCTTCAGGACTTCGCAGGTCCATTGATTTTGTCGCAGGCCTGCTTGAGTGTTGCCAAGGTATTAGCTATTTCACCATTTGCGGCTGCCGGTCGCAAAGCTCACAAGTCTCAGCCCTTTGCTATGTGCAGACTTCACAGCCACAGATGCTTGCAACAGCATTAAGGGCTGTTAATCCCTGTGGTTTGCAATGCGTATCTTTTGGCTTTTGTTGGCGCAAGTGCGTTGATTCAGAGTTTAGTGATCTCTCAGAAGCTGATGCTTGCTGGGTTGGCTTTCAAAGCACCAGGACCGCTCCAATTCCGAGACTTCCGTTATCAGAAGGTCGCTTGGCAGCGTCCCAGCCATACCTGGGCTTATGGGCCTGGACCAGAGTTCAAACAGAACCAACTTCAGAGCGAGCCATGACCATAGTGATGCAAAGCACTACACGCTGTAAAAGATGCAGACTTGCTATGCACTGCTGTAGTCGCAAGAGAGAATTAGTAAATTAGATAAAATTAGTCAAAAAATAGGTCAAACATGCCTGTGCAATTTCTTGCTTGATCTTCTGCGCTTGGACGGCTGCCTGACAATCTCTTTCGGACTTTATTTCAAAAATGGATCATGGTTTGATCTGCAGAAACACACGGAGAAAGAAACATCAAGGCTCACGAATTGTTACGTTTGACGAACTTGGTCATCAAAGCTTGCCTCCGCGGTAACCTGCGTTATGTCGTGGTCTTGAAGACATGGACATGGCAAACTGCCCTCCTTTCAACCCAAACCCACTTCCGTCACATCAGCTTTCTAGACTTCTTTGGTGGCTTTATAAGGACCCTCACGGGTCGGAGGCAAACCATAGAGAACCGCCTGCAACTACCCGAAGATTCAAGGCTCTAAAAACAAAAACAGGCCCCTGAAGCTAAAGCCGTTTTTTGTGTGATTGTCTATGCCCTGGAATGCTTCATGCTCATGCTGGTGACTATAAGCAGGGTCAGAGATTCTGGTGCGCAATAGCTACCGTGAGGCAGTATGCCTGCTATCAAAACTGGAGGCGCTTATCTATCCTCATTTTACAATGCTTTCACAGGTTTGATGCAGCTGGTTGAAGTCGTATCATTCTTGGCCTTGTCGGAGTGACGTGATTTGATACGTCGTGATTCTGTTTTGATTCCCTCTTAAGAAATTCTCTTCCAATGGTGATGCCTCCTCCGTGCTTTGCCAGATGGCCCTGATTGGCGTGCCCCATCGGGGAATCTGATCCCTTCTCCAGCTGCACCCGAACTGATTTCCTTGGAGGAGTGGCTCAAAGCGGCAGTTGCCTGTTCAGTATTCGAAGCGGCTTTGAACATTTCAACGATCTTTAGCGAGATTCGACGATCTTCAACATGTGATTGCAAGCTCAATCACAGCATTCCAAAGTTGTAGAAAGGTGGTTTTAGATTTAAATGAAGGATGAGAGCTGAACATGGCAGAAGTCAGTAGGGCCATCCAATGATCTTCAATCCAACACCTTGCAGGAGCCTGGAGGCGGTCGAGGAATTCTGGTTCAGTGGCCCACTGTGGTGCATGCTACGGCCTACGTGGTGGAGCTCTACGAAGAAAATGCTGCATCGCTTGAATGCTTTCACAGATGCCTGGCAACTGCTCTGGAAACCAGCGGGCAGATATGGGGAAGTCCAATCCTGACAATCAAAGGTAGGTCCTGAGGAATCCCGAGAGTCTTGCTTGTTTGACCACAAGGTTTTCGTTGCATCTATAGTTGAGAAGCAGAAAAGAATGCCACAGCTTTTTTCCTCCACATTTCTTTTGAAGCTACGCACTGGCAGCGCGGCCAGTATATAGGAGATGTTTTCGGTTCACCAAGGAAACGTTCCAGAAAATCTGAAAGAGGTGCTGGTGGAACTAAGAGCACCTTGCTTGCGCTGAAAAGTCTTGCAGCCCAACAAAAACAGCCAACAGCGGAACACGGTTGGGCCATCGCTTTGGAACGTGTTCAAAAGCGTCGCTTTGGAACGCGGTCTCAAGCATCGCTTTGGAACGCGCCTGATCATCATGATCTTCATCCCCGTCTAAGGCCATATATATCATCATCATCAGCATCAGCATCAGCATCATCATCACCATCATCATCATCATCATCATCATCATCATCATCAGCATCAGCATCAGCATCATCATCATCATCATCATCATCATCATCATCATCATCATCATCATCATCATCATCATCATCATCATCATCATCATCAGCATCAGCATCAGCATCAGCATCATCATCATCATCATCATCATCATCATCATCATCCTCATCCTCATCGTCATCGTCATCGTCATCGTCATCGTCATCATCATCGTCATCATCATCATCATCATCATCATCATTGCCATTGCCATCATTGCCATCATTGCCATCATTGCCATCATCATCATCATCATCATCATCATCATCATCATCATCATCATCATCATCATCATCATCATCATCATCATCATCATCATCATTGCCATCATTGCCATCATTGCCATCATTGCCATCATTGCCACCATCATCATCATCATCGTCATCATCATCATCATCATCATCATCATTGCCATCATTGCCATCATTGCCACCATCATCATCATCATCATCATCATCATCATCATCATCATCATCATCATCATCATCATCATCATTGCCATCATTGCCACCACCATCATCATCATCACCATCATCATCATCAGCATCATCAGCACCATTACGTAAAGGTGCAGCGTGCTGACCCTGCTGTTTCTTAATGTTCGGTGAAGGAACATGAACGTTATTGTCCCACCCCACCCCACCCCACCGGCAACTGATCATGAAAGAGCAGTGCCTGTGTTTGCTGGACAGCAAGAAAGATGATGAGGTTGCTGTGCCTGTGTGTGCACAGGACCATGAACGTTATTACCCCACCCCACCCCACCCCACCGGTAACTGATCATGAAAGAGCAGTGCCTGTGTCTCCTGGACAGCAAGAAAGATGATGAGGTTGCTGTGCCTGTGTGTGTACAGGAACATGAACGTTATTGTCCCACCGCACCCCACCCCACCCCACCGGTAACTGATCATGAAAGAGCAGTGCCTGTGTCTGTGTGTGCACAGGAACATGAACGTTATATGCCACCCCACCCCACCCCACCCCACTGGAACATGAATGA